GAGGATCGAACCCGGGCCGCACGCATGCCAGGTGAGCGCGCTACCGCTGAGCCACATCCCCAGCCCTGAGGCCCAGCATTTTGAAAGGATGACCTAGGCTTTAGATTGTCAGGTGATTACATTTCCAACCGTATATTCTTTCGATTCCTTACAAAGTCTGGAAGTGTGGGCTGGGATGTAGCTCAGTGGCAAAGCATCTACCTTGCATTTGCTAAGCCCTGGGTTCGACCCCCCAGTTCCATAAAAATCACAAACAAACAAACAACAACAAAAAAACCCACCCCCCCAAAAAAAATAAGATAAAAAAAAAAGTCTGGACAAGAGCAGAAAGGACAGCACCGAGACTGACAGTTTCTGTCCCAAGTGCTCCACAGACATTAACTCATCCAGTTCCCCTGACAGTCCTGTGAGATGGGTGACTCCTTTCACAGACATGCAAACACAACCTTGAGCATCACAGCTTGTTTTAAGGTGGAGCCAGATCTAAACCCAGGCAGGAGTGGCCCAGGTCCTGCCCCAAAACAATGCAGTTGCTGTGGACACTGCCCACCAGTATACTTGGCAGTTTCTGGGGACTTGTGCCAATCTGAATATCAATTTGATGTTTCCCATTTAATTGACTTAGTGAAACCTGACTTACTACCTGTTCTTAACGCCTGATAAATGCTCTAGATTTCCCCTGCTCTCCATCACTTGCTTTTAGTTGACGATAGCTAACACTTCTGAGCCTGGGAATGATGGGAACATGCCTAAGACTGGACTACGTTTGATCCAATCAGTCTTCCCTTTGCCTCAGCCATATAAAAATACATCCCCAAACCGTCTCCTGGGGCATAGTGATTTAAAACTTGCTCTACCTTCTCTACATGCTTAGCTGCTTTGCAAGTAAAACTTCTCTTTTGCAAAACTGTTCCTTTTAGTGACTGGCAGACTGCGTGGCAGGCAAAATGGCCCTGGTTCTGTAACCCTAGGAAGCAGGACATCAGAGTTGTAGAAACAAACATCCCCTTTCCTGCAACACAAACATCGCCACCTGGAGGAACTCAGGGGAAAGGTAAAGGCCTTTCATTGACTGTCACTTGGCAGAGGCCAGGCAGGCACCTCCTCTTCACAGGACTAACCACACGTGACCTGAGAGCCATGGCCCGAGGCTGCAGGGGATAGGCAGCTAGCGAGCATCTGTATTCAAGTTCTGTCTCATCTACTTCCAAATCCCATAATCCTGGGTGAGATCCTCAACTCTAAATCTCAGTGACTTCTCCATTAAATGGAGTGAGAAAAGCCCCTACCCCACAGAGGCATTAGGAGGAATTTGATCTTGCAATGAGAGCATCTCCAGATACCTGAATCATGCAACATGTGGGAAGCGAAACCCCAAACGCTAGTCTTAGATCTGCAGATGTCTTTTTGTTCATTATTTTTTTCTCTTCCCAGCACCCTCTAAGGCACATGGGGTAATGGTGGCCTGTCCCATTTCACAGCTTGCAGACATGTTGAAAGTTCAATCTGAGACGGGAGTGTGGCCCAGGTCTTGTTGAAAGTCACCAATTTGTTAAACGCATGGTACTCCAGAGTTATTGGCAAGCCTACCTTTTCTTAGGTTCTAGAATTTCTGAAGCCAGAACTTACGTAGACCCCAAACCAATCTGTCATCCATCTACAAAAATATTTTGCCAGTACCAGTCTCCGAGAAAAATTTCAGGAAGGGTGTAATGTCAGAGGATCATGAAATTTTTATTCGTTTTGCTTCCTCTCAACTATGCCCCTGGCCAGTGGAACTGTTCCAAATCAATGATTTTACCCTTTGAGGTCACAGCATTTCCTCAGAGTAATGTAACAGAATTAAGGAATGTAGCTGAGTGACTGCATAGAAAAAATATTCAAGTAAGCTAACTACGGGAGTGGTCCTTGAGTCCTGTCTCTCTCATTGAAAAGTCAGTCGACACCCTCAAAATGATCCAAATTCCCTCCCGGACACTTGCCAATATTTCAAAGTTGTCTTCAGAGAGAGTTGAGTGAGGCCTGAGGGGCCATGCTATTTTAGGAAAAGAGGGTGGCTACCAGACCCACCCACTCACTCGGTTGCTCCATCAAGTAAGTACCCCTTCTGCAGGGACACGTGGCCTGACTTCCTGAAATGACAACATTCTTTTTTCTATCATTGCTTCCTCCATAAAGTCAACTACATAATTATTTTTGAAAGGCAAGCAAACCACCACAAATATGCAAAAACTCCCCAAATGGCAAGGTCTGACTTCAACTCAACATCTCTTCTTGTTCCAAAACGTAGAAAGATCACACCGTGTGACCCCACATATCTAAAAACATCCATCTGGGTTGAAAAGTTCAGCATGATTAACTCCTGACTTGAGCCCTGCTGACTTTGGCCCCATTCAAAGGCCTCTTGTTTATTTGCTCTTAGGAGAGAGGTCTCTGGAAGAATGGCTGGTTTTAGAGTCTTTGCAGTGAATGACACCAGAGACATGCTAAGCGATGTCTGTTCTGTTTGTACCTCAGCCACTGGTCAAAGACGATCAGTCCCAAATATTCAGACTCTTTCCTTTAAACTGGAGCGTCCCTTTGTCAGAACGACATCTGGAGCTCTTGTCGACTTCAGTATGTCTTTTCGAGGTAAGACTTTCATGAAATGGTTTTGTTTTTCTCTGCCTGGTAATTTATTCTCCAAACATTACTAATGTTTCCATCACGCAAACTGATGAGAGAGAGGGCGAGAGGCTTCTGAGAGTGTGTGGGAAGGGACAGACCACTCAAAGAATAGGAAAAGAGGGAAAAGTGGAAGTTTGAGGTTTATGACATCACAGGTGCTGTTGGGAATGCTGGGGCTCTGTGTCTACATCAGTGACCCGACGAAGCAGGCATCTGATTCCATTTTATGGATGTGGAGTCAAGTCAATGGATCAAGTTCACACATCTGGTGAGACCTGACCGTGGAATGGAGCCAGGCAGTCTGACATCGGCACTCTTACCCTTGGCCTACTAAATCAATCAAAAGACACTGCTAGAGGGTGGTTAGATGTCCCCCAAAGACCTATGCATTAAAGGCTGGGCCCCTAGGCTGGTACTTTGGGGAGGTGTGAATACACTTTGTGTACAGCCAGAGATATGAAAACTGTGCTCTCTGTGTGTAATAAGAACTGTGATGCACTCCACTGTCATAGATAAATTTTAAAAAATGAACTGAAGGAAAGCAGTCCTGAGGGTCATGGGGCTGTACTCTTGAAGGGGCTGAGGGACCCTGCCCCCTTCCCCTGCCCTGCTGGGCTTCCTGGCTCATGATGTGAGTGGTTTTGCTTTGCCAGCCATCCTCACCACGTTGTCCTGCTTTGCCACAAGCCTAAAAGCCATGGATCCTCCCAATCACAAACCAAAATAAACCTCATCTTACATGATATTGGGTCCTCCTGATGGACAGCTGATTAGTTCAGGGACCAAGAACACTCATCAGGTACAGCGAGACACTCACCAGGCAGAAGTCGGGAGAGGGAGATGCCCGATTTTTGACCAGCCAGGTCGGCTGTCTTGGCTCCCAGTGGTCACACCTCTGAATGCCGTCAAGTTTGTGCTGTGGGACACTCGGCATGCCAGTCCCGTTCTGAAGCCAACAGCCATGTGGCCACAGCTCGACTTGGCGCAGCTGATGTCACACATCTTTCATTTCTGCTCRGGGCACAAGTCTTTTTCTATACCAGATGGAAATCATCCCTCAGCTGTCACTAAGTACCTCACAAGAGAATCAGTGGTGCAGCCCTGACTACTATCTGTCCTAGGAATGATGTGAAAAAAAAATACAAGAAGTATGCACTAGATGTGCCAGGATGATCCAACAGCAAAGAGCCCAAGCCCATCGGCAGCAGCCAGGTTCTGAGGTTTACAACCACGGAGCAGAGGGGTGAAAACCCCCAAGGAACGCAGAGCAATGAGAGCAGAAAAGACAAGACAACATACCACCAACCTCCCTGGAGTCAAGCAAACTGGGAATCCCCTGAGAGATCCCCAAAGGGTCCCATTTTGTAACCAGTTCTGTGGCTCTCCAGATGGCAGCCCCCTGAATAGCTTGTCAAGGCTTTTTAGCCGTGAATTTTCAGCTCAAAGATGTCAGGGATCTTAGAGACCTGGACAGTCCCTGCGACAGTTTGGATCTGAAATATTCCCCAAAGGCCCATTTGTTCCAAGGCTTGGTCCCCAGCTGGTGCTCTTGGGCCTCAGCAAGGACGCAAGAGCAACAGAGTCAGCAGATCAGGGACTGAAACTTCTGAAACCAGGAGCCCAAATAAACCTTCTCCTAAGTTGTTTATCTCAGCTATTTCATCACAGTAACAGAAAGGTGAGTCACGGACTCGCAGGGTCTCCTTCCGCGTCCTAGTCTGCACTAAGGGGAATCTGTCGAGAAGTACAGGCCAGCACGGATGTCCAGAGATCTCTATTGAACCATGCCATTCATGGGAAGCTGATAATTCCTGATGTGAAAGCCTTTTCCCATTTAAAACAAATAAACAAATCCTGTTCTCCCACTAGAAGAAGAGGAACGCATACTATCCCAGGGACTTTGGAGCTTTTTATGTGTGCATTTACCTAGGAACGACTCCGGCTCACTCACGTACATACTCATTCATCAAATATTTACCGAGCAGCAACTGCTCCCTGTTAGTCATCAGGAGACAGACAGAAGCAAGAGCAGCCCTGAAGGAAGTTAGGGTACCGGCGGGCAGGTGGTGGTTAGATAAGGACACTAATAACTAGAACAGGAAAAGTGTACTTGGGACATCAAGCACAGGTCCTGCGAAGGCACTAACCAAAAGCAGGTGGGCAGAGACCGAATCATGGAACAAGAGGTACAGAAAAGCGACTTGGGAGTGTCCATGGCCATCAGAGGGGTCAGAAAGGGTGATAAGGCTCAGGATTTAGGAACAAACTGTGCAGAAAGCTCCTGGATTTGGGGGTGCACAGAGAGCCCAAGAGAGCTACCAGCAGGTGGGTACCTTGCAGTCGCAGCCGATGGGCTTCCCGCACTCTTCACACGTGTTGGCGTAGAGCGCCTCAAAGCAGGCCACACAGTGGGGGTTCTCCTCCCGMAGGATGTACTTCTTCCCAAAGAGAGACTCATGGCAGTGGTGGCAATCAAAGCGCTCTGTCATGTTGACACCCGGCTTCTCAAAAGCCTACAAAACACAGAGAGAACCCAGGCATCAGGAGGCACTCTCCACGGACCATGCACACAAAGCCGTCACCTGGCCCCCTGTCTTCCTCTTTAGCCAACCGGTGGCTCTTTTCTCTGGGTTCATCACCAAATGTCACCTTTCAGTGCTCAGAATTTTCAATTATAAGCTTTTTTTAATTAGTTGGGGCCAGTTTTGTGTTTGAGCGTATCCCACTTCTTTGACAGTACCCATTATGGTTGACTGCATCAGAATGTCGGATCCGAGTTGGCACCAGAGTCCCCATCTGGTTCGGCTGCAGGCATGCTTGCAACATGTGACCCCACCATACCTCTTCCTTTCTCTCTGCCCCCCAAATAGAAAGGCAGGCATAGAAACAATATGCCTATTTCTATGAAAAGACTTTCCATGAGCTCCCCTTTACGATTCACCCACGTGAACAGGAAGAAATCTCAGCAGAATCAGGGAGGGATATCTGGGGGAATCTGTGACTGGACTCCAGGAGAGTGCTGCCCTTGACCTGGATGTTGCATTGGGAGGCACAAACGGCCCAAGGACACAAGAAACTGCCAGTGTCCCTCAGGGGGAGCTGTTTCTCCCAGATGCAAAGCCGGTCCTCCTGCAGCTGTCCAGGTACCCAGAGGGCAGGAGAACAAGACTGGCCCAGAGGATATCACGGAGTGGGAAATGCAGTGACTGCGGTCAGCGGCTCTCCCGGAGCCTTGCAAAGAGGAACAAGAGTGCGTCTTCATGGAAGACACGTGGTTTTATTTTTCCAGGATCAGTACACAGTGTGCACGAATAGAAAGAGAGAAAGGTGAGGGCAGTCGGGGCGGGAGGGGGGCAGGTGTTCCTCCTCCCCTCCCCTCCTTGTTYGGCCATTGCTATAAAATGGTGTTAAAATTACACCAGATAGAAAAGGTCTCCTATAGGAACACTTGGTGTGGACATTAAAATACAGTTGATTTTCTATAAGATTTTTTTTTTTTTTAAGCAGTAATTCTTTCGCTAAGAAGTGAACATTTCTTTCCCCGGTTGTTAAAGAGGCACGCCCCTTGGCCATGCAACTCTGAGCCAACTCAATTCAATTTCCAGTCATTTCCAGCCCTTTGAGGGTGAAATCCCAGAATTAGATTCTCTGACGCAAATGAAATATTGCTGCTTGTGGGTTTGCGATTACAGCAAATTTGATAGTGTTTATTAATTTTATCCTCTTGTGTATACAAGGTCCTGACAGCGGTAAGCAGAGATGTGAACATCTTTCAAGCATCCTTACTTGGTTATTTCTGTGTTCATAGTATACTTTCCTTCCAAGAGTATTAAACACACAGCTGGATACATGTGGCAAGATCCACCCCTCTAAATCACTCTTCCTGGGGTTAAAGAAAACATCGTCTGCACACTCTTGTGATAACATCACAAGATGAGGCTCTGGAGCATTTGGATTATTGTTCTGAAACCCAGCATCTGAATAGCCTCTGTGCTGAGGCATTCTGAGGTTGCAACAACTATGCTGGAAGATGGTGTGATGCTTTCCTGTAATTCTCCGGTTATTGGCCCCGAGAGAACTGTCCCTTATTCYATCCCAATCCGGAGCCAATGTTCCAACATATACATTTTTCCAATAAAGGCTGCCATTTAGTTGTGGAACGAGAGGATTTTTTTGTCTATTCTGTTCACACACGTAGAAGAATAATGATTTGGGAATTTGTAAGAAGAACAATGAAGAAAGAGAGAACTACTTATAAATCATGGAATTTTAAAACCTGAAAACAACTCCTGACATTATCTTTGGACAACTCCCTCATTTTAGGGCTGGGAAAACTGGAGCCCAGGAGTTTTGGTGAAAAAAAAAGGGAAGCCTCCAGGGTTCTCCCCAGTAGCCATCTAACTTTGAGAAAACAAATGGCTGATGTGAATGGAAAGTGAGTCCACGTGGGTTTGGACGAGCACCAGGACGCCATCTGCAGACTATACAACTGTCTCCATGAGGCACGGTCTTTGTCTGCACCCAGTGGGAAGCACCTGCTTCCCTCCAAGGTCAAGATCGTGCCCCGCATCTGAGGCCAGGTGTGGCAGGTGTGTTYTACACCTCCTGTGATTGTGTAGGTCCAGTGCAGAAGAGCATCTAAGGGCGCAACCTCTGAGAATAACTCAGGCTCCTCGTCTGCTCCGATTATGACTGAGGCTATCCTGTGACAACTGCTATCGCCTCTGACACCGCCTTCCATAGTAAGATGCACTTGACTTCCCAAGGCCCTCTGAAGAATTTCCAAATCATCACAAGAAGTACAAACCCCGAGAGTCAGGATAAATAGTCCATAGATGGATGCGAAACAGCTCAGAGCTTCCCTTCTGTCATGGAGGGTTGAACCCATTCCTCTTTTAATTACATGAGACCAAATAGAATATTCCTTTTAGTTTTGTTTTTGGTGCTGGGGATTGAACCCGGAACCTCACACATGCTCTACCACGGAGCAACATCCCCAGCCCCATCATGTTTTCTAAGAAATGAAATAAAATGTGTTTTAAAAGTGACACCATCAATCCTGAACCCTCTTTTCATGGGAAAAGTGTCTTACATTAGAAGTCTGCTTTAACTTTGCATTTTTCAGTCCTATGAAACACCCAGCTGTTCATTCACTCACTCAAGAAACACTGGCTGACCTGGGATCACGTGTCAGATGTCACACAAAGTGTTGGAGGACAAAGATGAGCAATGTACTGGCCTCTCCCTCAGGAACTGGTGGTTTAGACGGGAAAAGTACCATTTTACAAATTGCAAGGTTCAACAGCAGGAGCTCCATGGAGATGAACAGGTATCGCGGGAACACAGAGGAGTGTTCCCTGGGAGGCCCAACTGGGCCTGGAGGAGGGGCAAAGGGTGGGCCAGGTGATGCTTCAGGTCCAGGGGTGGAGTAGGCCAAGCGGTGGAAATGAGAAGTGGTGTAGGGTGAGCACACCGGGAAGACAGGAGATCCAGCTGGCAGGGGTGGAAAAAGGCTCAGCGTGAAGACCATCAAAGCCAAGGCAGGGCCTGAGTGCCTTGTTGGTGGGCTTGGCTAAGATGTTCCCTGTGGGCCATAGGTGTGCATGTGACCGCCTCCATCCTGCACACAGCGAGGGGCCAGGCAGGCCTCATTAAGCGTCCATTGCCTGGAAGCCCGGCCTTGCTATGTCAGGTGGGGGAGACAAACCCAAGGGAGTGACTCTTAAAAAACGATTTCATGTTGTCAGAGTCGAGGTCCGAATCTTCAAGTCCAGGTAAGACGTCTTGATTTCACAGGGATTATTAAGCCTAACTGCGCAATCCACTTACACCTCCTGACAGGTTAGAAAGAATTCCTGCCCATTACCTGGTACACAGGAATGCTGATGGGGTTAAGCAGGGGCATGCAGGCAGACACCTGAACTTGTGGTGTGACTGCTGACTTGTTATTCTCCTGAATCAGATCCAAATTACAGTGTCCCCGAGTTCCTATCCCTTCCCATTCTCTGATGTCATTCCCCCTTGGGCTCTGAACCACCAGGCTATTTGAAAAAGCTGTATCTTAGGATACTGACTTGAGTTCAGGCCAAGTTACCTGCACTGGGCGGGGCAGGTACCAGGTGCAGCTCGCAGGTCTGGGGCTGACCTGGCAAGGGAGGGCTTTGATCTCCACATCCCTTGTCAGCCAAACTTCAAGCCAGTTACAAGAATAAGATTCAGAGAGCCACGGAGCAGGGATGCCCGGGCTTAACAACTACTCAACACCGTAAAACCCATGGAACACCACTGGCTTAGGCATGTGCTCTATTTTTAAACTTGCAATTTAAAAGCTGTCAAACAAAGTTTGAGTARGGGAAGTGTTGGAGGTACAAAGAGAGAGAAAAAAAAAAGCATGAGATCAAAGGGAGAAGGAAAATAAAAAGTGAGTAAAGGTAAGTAGAGGGAGGTGGTAGAGAGGGAGGAGGAGGGCCAATGCGGAGAAGAACTGCCAAGACATTCAGGGCATGAAGCTCGTTTCTTTGGTGGTGGTTGTTCATCTGTTTGATTTTGCTTTTGTTTTATAAGGTGTGTGGAGCATCAGGAGAGGGACTGGCGTGGTGCACAGCCTCTCCTTGGCTTGCTGGCTGAGGTCTTTGAGTTTTAGGTCCCTCCTTCCCAAACAGCAAACCTGGTGGCCCCCACACAGGCCAGCTTTGCCAGAGTCTCCTTTTCAATGCTCCTTTTATTCAACTACTTACTTTATTTTTTTTTATAAGATTTTTTTTTTAAAGAGAGAGTGAGAGAGGAGAGAAAGAGATAATTTTTAATATTTATTTTTTAGTTCTCGGCGGACACAACATCTTTGTTGATATGTGGTGCTGAGGATCGAACCCGGGCCGCACGCATGCCAGGCGAGCGCGCTACCGCTTGAGCCACATCCCCAGCCCACAACTACTTACTTTAATCCGATCCCCAAGGGCCCATTTTCTCCTCCCCTTYCAAACTCCAAAGGCACTGCTTTATGAGACTCTTCTAATACAGCCATTTCCTAAAGAGCTATCTACGAATGTCTCCAGGCACTTCCCACAAGACCTGCAACAGCATCTCCAGGGAGTCTATCCTTGGACCAAGCTGTGTCCATCTTTAAATGCCACCAGGGACCCACGGGAGAAATTCCATTGCTAATTGACCATCAACCAGAATTCATTAGAGAAAATTAGGTCTATTGTCTGTGGGCCCTTCTTAAGAATATACCGTAAAAACGCGATGCTTTCGTGATACCACTCCACACTGTGATGCCTGTGTTCCCTACTGGCCCTAGGCACCGATCAGGTGGGCAGTACATGCTGCTGAGACACCTCCCAGCAGCCCAGGTCTTTGTAAGTACTGGCAGAATGAGTGAACCAATGGATGGGGGGGGGGGGGTAAACACAAGCCTCCCAGAGAGCACAGACACATGGGCAAAAGTCAAGACTGAAAATGGGGAATGTTTCATGTGTACAATCCCCTCTGTATGGCAAACCCCAAAAAGCAA